CAGAGGTGCCAATAGGGGAACGATAGCGCAAGTTAAATAAATTCAGGTCGTTAATGAAACACAAATCAAGACAAGCCTGGAGTCTGGTGGGAAAGTTACCAACGTTTTGTAGTCCAAAGGTTGTCAAAAACGTGACATCAAACCTATTGAAGTCACCACACACGATGCAAAGGAAAGAGTCTACGTAACTTAGTAAGTCGGCGGAGAAAATATCTGTGAACTCGTTAAAATGATCAGTGGAACAAGATGGAGAAATATAAATGTTACCAAAAATAATGTTTCGGTAGTTACTGAGGTGTTTAGGTTTGCATTTATACAGTGAAGTACTGATAAAAGTGGTAGAATACATACATCTTCCCATCTCATCTGTCTTTCATGTGCATAAAACCCGTCCACCTGTTCTTAATGTCTTTTTTTACCGATCATTTTGTTCAGCTATTGAAAACATGCCCACTAATGAGTCTTTTATTGTTTTGTTTATAATTTTAATGCTATCCGTCAGAGTAATCATGGTCTTATCACGATGGGTGCGCAGTGGTCGCTACTACCAGAACGATTTTGCCCCCCGTCCGGATCTGCGTCGTCGGCTGTCAGAATTCTTGGCTACGATTCAGGCACGACATTTACTGTCTGCAGTGAGGCGAATTGTACAACACCTACAAAATACCCCAGTCGGCTTAGCTGACTCTGACGCTGATAATGCTGGAGATCCTACGGGTACAGCCTCCACATACCTCGACTTGCATTCAGCGAGCTCCATCGCTGTTCGTCGTGCCGAGTCCCTAACTGACGGATCTCGTCTACGTTCACAGTTAGATACGGATAAACCGAAACGATTGAATCTCACATTGGTATGTGTCTGCTATATTTTACTATGGTTTCGTTTCATTTGTTTCATAGTTTCCAGCGTCAGTAATATCACCTATTGTCGCCTTTCTGTCCACCCACCCCCTCGTTTTCCAGATTCACCCCTACAAACTAGCGGAACAGGTCACTCTTTATGAGTGGGAGCTGTATCGACGTATTCAATTCTGGGAAGTGGATGGACGTGATCGCACCGATCATCCAACTCCAAATCTGGACAAATCTAAATCCTTTTCCAATCGCGTAAGTATGTTCCGCTTTGCTACTTCTGCTCCCTCACACACCCCATTTGGTGTGTTCGGTTGTGGTTGGGAAGACGCGTTTCACATCATTCCGGCTGGCTCGACATGTATGCCTTTGTGGATATGGCACAATGCAACACCCGATATGTGCATGCTGAACATTCGATGGACTTGGAAAGCAGCGGAAGGAAGATCGTAGGGATCTGGTAGATGAATGACAATCGATTTAACGCAAACGCGTATCATCGGTAGTTTGATGCAAAGATCATCCAGGATTTCTTGTCCCCGTGGAACGAGGTTTTTTAAAACATCCGTTCCCGAGTTTTCGGTCGGCTAAAATCCGATTTAGGTATTGACATTTTTTGTTACACCATTCCGTAAAAAACTGGGTTTTAAAGGCTAGCGAATTCACACATGAATGTCTGAGAATCACGTCAGCCATCAAGAAGTTAAGTTTTGGACAAAAATAAAATTTCGTTCATAATCAGTAAATTAGGAGGGAATACTGCACAGATTTTGTTATTCTCTCCTCTACAGTCACTGTTTTTCAGATTTCACACTTTTGCTGGATTAATGTGGATTTATAATTCTATTTTGAAGGAGTCACGCAATATTCGGCTTTGTTCTAAGTTACCGGACGTCACACAGAGCATGCCTGTTCATCAAATGGAGTTCAGTATTAACTCATGACCTCGGTAATCTGTATAGGGTAACTCCCTCCCTTTGTTAGATTTCGGGGATCCATATTTAACCAAAGTCAGCTCATCTCGTGCTATGAATAAATACTGGAATGAATAACCACGTTGTATTCTGAAAGACTATCTGTATTGTCGTGAGTTACCGACGTTTTTATCTCCTGATCTCATACGCAGTGATTATCCCACCATATCAGATTCAATTCGAGTATTTTGTTAGTGAAAAAAAGATGTTATTTATTTTCCTCGAAATCAATCACGGAACTAATTCGTGGTTTTTCAATTTTCCACTGGGTTCCCCGATTCCACCATCCGCATCTAGTGTTGTGCAACTGGTGCGTACAGATTCATCCAACTGTTTCTCTCTCTCTGTAGTGCGCGCATAATACGTTCGCATTGTTTAAATTTTTCGCATTCCTCTCCTCCTTCCTCCGTCGTTTTTTATTTCTCGTTCGAAACACACTCGCATCTCGTCCTGGTGATATTACAGTTTCGCAATTGGCTAGTTTGTGCAATTCTGTCCGAACCGCATCCAGACGATCGGGTGGTGGCCATCCAACGAGTAATCGATCTGATGCTAATTATGGAACAAATGAACAATCTTCAGGGAAGTCAGGAAGCCAAATCGGCATTGATTAGTGCTGCAGTGTTTCGTCTTCGCAAATCTTTTCAGGTATGTGGTTTCGCCCTGATTGTTTCTCCTCTGTTTACATTTTGCTTCGTTGCCATCGTTGCAGATTGGTATTGTGTGTGTGCATGACTGGAAAAATGCAGGCTACCGATAACCGGAAAAGGGATGGTGTGATTGATTTGTAACCGCTTTTGAGGTCGTGCGCACTTTCTACCCGGTTTGGCATTCCAGTCACAATCTTCTCACCACCGCCACCACCACCCCGACGTTCACAGGGCTAATCAGTTTCAGTGAAGTTATTTCAAATTAATGTTCGCATAAAGTGTTATTTTTATCCCCACTTCCAGGGTCAGTAGCAGACAGTATTCACCCTTAGTTTGGTTTATTCACTTCAGGCTATCCGAAAATTGCGTCACTATCGGCAAGTAGTGGATCGCATTCGCCGTGAAGCTACTGTCGGTCCAAAGCCCCAATCAGCTTTGACCGTCAGTACAAATAGCAACCCCAGTTTACTCGGTCCCGGCTTGCCTTTCGCCACCAAGGCTAGTCGAGCTCACGAACGCCGTATCAAGGACTTGGAGAAACGTCAAGCGTCTGGGGAAGCGAACAATCCATGTGTCCCGTTTATCGCAGCTGGTGTTATGACTCGGCTTATTCATTTAGATTTACGGCATTCGGANAGTGGTAATGGAATCTGGGACTGTCATGATTAATTGCTGGAAACATCGACAGTTGGCTGAGGTGATCGAACGTTACTTGGCCTTCCAACGTGTTCCATATGGATTCGAAGTTGATTCCGAAATTCGAGTAAGCTGTTTGGTGTTTATGTATTTTTTCAGTCAATCTATATGACGTTTATCATTTTCTCAAATTTTTATCTATTATCGAATGCATTTGAACTTAACTTTCTTTGGTTAAGTATTTTGATAGTTTCACTTGCTTACTATATCTGTGAGTTCATATCCATTCTACTATTTCTAACACTTGCCATGGTTCGTTATTATAGGAGATAAAATTGTCATCATTTGGCCACCAATCTGCTGGTTTTCGTTACCCTACAAACAAAAAGAGAAATCTGCTGGTCGATAGGAACGAAACCGAACACAAATTAGTCAAAATTTATCCAAACTGGGCCACATTGATGGGATTGTGTATACCGATCTCTGCTCCTGAGCTTAGCTAATGAATCATAGCTGCGCGAATGGTTTTCTTTCGTTCAACAGCAGGTCCTCGTGACTATGGGGTTCGTTCCTCATCTATACGCGTGACCAATAACCTTACTGCACGCTATTTCTGATATGACAGCAACTATTCAGCTATCAGATGTGAATGCCAGGGTAGCATACAGGCATTTCATTTTTATAGGCACCCTNCCACAAATTGTAGGGAAGGGATGTTCACGGGTAAATCAGTACGTTATTTCTCTTTCCTTTTGGATATCGTTTTGCTGTGTTTAGTTGTTCAGTAGATGATGGTAGATGGGTGGCATTTTTTGTTCGCTGACGGACCTGGCTTCCATCAGTGGAATTCCAGGTGCCAGATAGTACGGGGCCTAATTCGTCCATAATTGTTCTCCTGAGAAATTTCAAAAGGTGCATATGATCCATTAATGAAATTTTTTAG